ATTGCTCACTGTCGACTCTGATAGGATTGAGAGCCTATTTAAATATGAATGGAATTCTTGGCAGTGGACGAAACCATGCGAAGCCACGTGATAATAAGCGCACATTTATGAGTCTCCACGATCGCGAATGGATGCCAAATGCGTGGCGCACTCTTAAAAACCCTATCTTTGCTTAGCTTTTTACTGTCCATTATCTTTGTTATGATTATCGATCGCCGTTGAGAACAGCTGAACCAGTAGAACAGTGATAAATTTTGCGAAAGCCTGCGGAGGCTTAAACGACTTGCATGGCGAGGTCGGAAGGATTAGGTGATGGCATTCGCCGGCAAAACATTCATCTGCCGCGTTCATATCGAATTCACCACCCTTCCTCCTTGGATAATTTCCGGTTCCTTGAATTTCGCCCTCCAAGCTTTGCCAGTATTCCTTTTTTATCACTTTTTCATTTTTCTTCATTTCATTCCCTTCTTCCAAATTTACTTCTTTTTTCGCACTTATCTACTTCGCTTGTTTCAGCAGCATTCCATATTTGCTGAAAATATTTTTTCCGGTTAGCCTCGGTATAAAGTCGAATAGATCTTTGAACTGCTACTACTAAGTTGAACTAAATCTTTGCTTGAGCCTGTACGAAGTCCACTGGATATTGTTACAGTACCGTCAGCCGCCTATGATCAGCTAAGGAACGGCTATCATTCTGTAAGCCGCTTCAAGTGTGCGGAAAACTTTTATTTGACTTTTGTTGGTCATGTTTGTAGTGTAAGATTAAAAAAATTATAGCCAAATCAGGGTGCCCATCGGTTTTCAACGGGGACACTCAAAGACAGGGCATTTGAAACGCTGCAAGGGAATACAAGACAACCATAAACCAAAGGGAGAGGAGCAATGTCAGAAAGAGCAAAGGTTGCTCACGTCTTCCTCAAAATCGCTTGTCCTTTCTAAGGCTTAGTCCTAAGTTCTGCACACACAACGCGGCCTCCCTTCAATGTCCCTCGTAACGACCTGAGCGCTCAAAATAGTCAACTTCCATTGCGTTGTCGTAGATATACCAAGACTTTTCGGAAAGCGGGCATTACGGCCTAATCAAGTTATTCAACTTATTGCTCAGTAACAGTGAAGTGTACTACTAATGTCTTTATTCGGCATTGGTGCTCTTGAGTTGGAAGGGCATCATATTTATTCGCCGTGCCCATATATCCAACATCTCACCTGCGTCTCACTTGCCTACACAGAGGCGTCGTAGAGTGCGGAGGTGTTGTGAAATTTCGTCTCTCCCGGAGTTCCTCTCTTCTTTTATGGGTTCGTTCTCAGTCCCAGACAACGATTCTCCATCCCCGTCCCCTTCCGACAGTCCTGATTTATCTGCTAACCCTGCTGTTTTAAAACTCAGCTCTTGGTGGGAAATGTTATGCAAAGTGAGTTGCCAGCTATGGGCGTTGCGACATTCGTTTCAACCATCAGGATGAACCAAATCACATGGTTCCCAATTTGATGAGTTCGATCATGGTAAAAGGCACCTATTAAATTTACTTAACCCCTCCACGTTCAATTTCTCAAAGTACGACCCCATTTTGCTACATACAAACCCTTCCTCGCCTCCGAATTTGCCAATGAGACCTCCCCTCCCTCTCATTGCCCATCCGTGGACAACCCGACAGTTAAACTTGCTCGCACCCGACTCCCATAGATCAAAACTTTCATATGTTAACCCATTGGCGACATTGCGGCTCGACGCGGGGACGCACTTTTTTTGCCACGACGGACAATGCGGCTCGATGTGGGGACGCAGCATTGAGATAACTCTTCTCCGCAGGATTTCCAGAAGTGTTCCTATAGCATACTAATCAGGTAAGGCGTTTCATACATACGGTATTAATGGTCAGTGCAGATCTTCCTTTAAAGGAGGATTTCACGATTAGAATGGAGGTCGAGGAAGAAGATTAACCTAGTTGAGTAACCCACGGACCTCCTGAGGGTGCGAACTGATGCGCAATTCGCATCGAACAAATATAATTTGACCTCGGCGACCTATTATGCCTCAAAGTTGGCGGGTCTGGCGATCTCCGCCCACCGACCAGCTGATCACTCGCCGCAGATCTATACGTGGGATTGATTAGATAGCAGAGAGAGCGTGATGTTGAGGAGGGCACAGCGATAAGAGTCGCATCAATGCGCAAATCAGCGGGGAAGGAAGGGGTCCCATTTCTCGGGTTCTGGGCCGTTTCTCATGGTTCTTCCTTCTTTCGTGTACCATCACCATCCCTGAGTTAATTTGAAATGGGTTGCCTTCCCAGCGTGAAATTAGTAAATATATATATAATTGATGTTTACAACGAGCGGTAATTGAAAGTGATTTTCCCAGACAAAGAGCTATGTTTATTTTTTTTAGAAGAGATAAGACATACGAAGTTATTACGTTTCGCCTGGAGTCAGCTAGAGTAATGCTACAACATTTCACAAAGAGAGATCTGGATCCGACCCCATTTACGGGTTTTAAAGTGGAGATTTGAAGTTTTTCTGGCATGCTCCAATATACACCCTCGGCAAAACCTAAAGATTTACGCTCATTTTGGAAAGCGTCTGCAATCATACGAAACTTGCAAGTTCCAACAGTTCATGCTTCAAGATTCAACATTTTTGGTGCAGGTGGATAGCCGCATTATGACACATTTTTCAAAATGTCAAAAAAAGGCGCGGTCCGACGCGGCAGACAAGCGAAAAATCGCATTGTCAGCCAATGGGTTAAGCATGATTTTGAATTGGAATTTCGCATCGTTTGAAGAGAATCAGCAAACCCTCTAAATGAATGGAGTCTCATCAATTTTCTCATAGAGCTCTAATTGTTTTGGCATTAATCCACTGCATTTATCTTTCCGGTGCTAAGCATTGTCTTTTCTGGAAACAGCCAGAGAGTGGAAAGGTCACCGACTTGTTACGGAAGAATTTCAGGTCAAGAAAGGGGAGGCTTACCTAGTGGATAGAGGCACACCCCCTCTAGGGTGCTGACCGACACGCATTAAGGCAAAGAGAATATATCGTCGGGCGACCTAACAGCGGACGTGCCGTCGCTAAAAAGCGGGGCTAGACGGCCAGCGTGAAATCGCACCGCCGACCAACTGCTACCATCCGCCGTATGGTTCTTTAGCCGTTCAGACAGAGATAAAGACGAGTGTGTATGTTGGGCACAGCGACCAACTTGGAGAGTGGCATGTGCAGAATCAGCCGGGCAAAAAGGGACAGGTCAGAGATTGTTTGGTTCTGTGCTGTTGCACTAGGGCATGATTTCCTTCTTCCCAATTGGCACTGACCCGCCTCTGCCTTCATTTCTAATAAGCCTGCTTTTAATCTTTGAGTCACGGGACTGTTCAATACAACGTGTTTTTGATTGGCAACTTCCTGAAAACAACACATTATGTTTGCTCATTGAAAAAATCATGAATCATTCCTCTCAGATTAAGGATTTCTTCATTAATATCTTGCTCGTATGAAAGGGTTGAGCGTTACGGAAAAATCTAGGCTTAACCCTTTTGTTCCTTTTTGAACGTTCGTTACACGACTAGGTTTGACGATTCAAGCTCTTTCTTTACTTCACACAAAAGTAGAATATTGTTTGCGCTGATAGGAAGTGTACAGCGAACGAGTTTGGGGCTTCGCCAGTCGTGCAAGCTGACTGCAGCTGCTACTTGCTGCGCCTAATGGTTCGCGCCGTCTACTGATCAGAGTGTCTCCGTTCCTGTCTGTACTTGGTCGTTTGTTCCTCAGCTCGATGCGCCCTGTCCTTTCGTTCCTCTCACAACATAGGTTCGACAGTTCCGAAATTCCACTGTTTTCAGTAGAATGGTTTTGCTGTCCTATTTACTTTCCCCTTCACAAGTACAATTTCATTTTCAAGCAAGACAATCGTATAATTTTATCGTACTACATGCCTTGAGTAACGACTACCTAGTACATTCATTAACGCACCGCTAAATATTTAGTGTCTAAACTACGCTGCAAACTCGTTCTTTTGATTGGATTATTAAGAACTGTCAGATTAATGGGGTTTCAAATTCCAGTTAAGTGGGGGCAATCATGATGCAGTTTCTCGGCGTAGCTGTGATGTAAACTCGAACATTCCAGCTTCTCACGCATGTCAAGTGACTGCCTTTTGGGTGTCACCGCACCATGATGATCCTCCCTAACTGGAATAGACCCGGATCTGTGATATGCGAGGACCATAATATTTCGTACTGCCTTTTGAGATTAGCCTCACCGGATCCACTTTTCTCGTTCCAAGTATCAATGGCCACGTTTGGAGCTGTTTTGTCTTCCAAATGTAAGAGCAACCGTATTTTTAGTGTTCGCTCCTTGGAGGTTTAGAAAAGCCGCGATGTTTTCGGAACGCTGAGATCCGTCTGATGGTCGATCTGTTCCGCGGCTACAACTCCCTCGTGCAACCGGTAAGGAACAAGACAGAGCTGCCAATGATCATCAAAATCGCCATGCAACTTGTTCTGCTAATCAACGTGGTCAGTCAGTTCTCCCAATCGCCTTTGAGTTATCGAATTTTCCAGGGTTCCTTTTCAGGACGAGAAAGAGCAGGTGATGCACACAAATGTATGGCTCACATTGGTAAGCGAGAATTCCCGTTTGGGATTTTCCATTCATGTTAAAATTCCGCGCTAATTCTCATCCGAAGTGATATTTCTAATTTCTGATTCCCTCTTTTTACACGGCATTCCGTACACATTTCACTCTGTCCTACGTCTTTTTCTACGTTCATTTGGAGACTCCCGTTGTTCTTCATCACCTTTTCTTTTTTATGGCTGTTTTTTGAGTTTATTTTCACAGAGATTTTCGATTTTCGCTCTTTCTAAAAATTCAATGCTTCAGCTAAAAAAATGCCCCTTGAAATTCCTTCCTAGTCCACAGCGCTCTCTCGGCTAAAGTCATGCGGCCTCGCCATTCACATGAATAAATTACTAATCCAGCTTCGGACCCCCCTGAATGCCGATGCCCTCCCAAATCAACTGCCACAAAGGCGACCCCTTCGTTCTTAGTGCGAACGCTGACCCTGCTTCGGTGTCCCACGAAACTGGTTGGGAGCCACGGCGCACACCACGCCCACAAACCAAGTTCGAAGTATAAAGCTAAGGTAAGGATGGAGTACATATCGCCGATGACATGAGAACCTGTTTATGAAATGAGTTGGTATTGCTTTTCTCCCTGCTGGGCTTTTACTTCGTCAGCATTACTCAAATGATGAAAGTGACGGAAAATTCCGATAAAGAAATTGTTGTCAAATTCCGCTAATTTTTTTCTAAAGCCAATTCTCAATTTGATTCTTGTACAAAACTACAGCTTAAAGAGCTGACGAACTATGAGGGCGCACTCCGAAGAAGAGTCTTGTGCAGCTCATGCTACTAATTACACTCGAGTCTGCTGATTGGGTTTGACGTCCCACGGTTGAAGGCACGGATCGCGATGAATGCTTGGAGGAGTCCTACATAGGGTGTCCCCAAGAGGCCCATCGCGCGGCGAAGGAAGAGACGCAGATGCGGCAAAGGACGAGTCGCAGCGCGTGCTGTGCGATATGAGACGTAGTATGGTACACTCTATTTAACCTGACGCCTAACCGCTACAGTATGCGCTGCGACTCGTCCTTTGCCGCGTCTGCGTCTCTTCCTTCGCCGCGCGATGGGCCTCTTGGGGGCAGGGTGAATATCGCTTGAGGATTCCTCAACGGCACGTCGAGGATTCTCTGCCCGATCAGACACGATCTCTCGCGCGGACATTCACACTCGCCATGGCGTGCCGTCTGTGCTCTCCGCGCGGATGTTCACTCTCGGCACTACTCTCGCATGGTAGAGAGCTATGGTCGAGGAAATCCTCGACTATAGCTCTCTACCATTCACCCTGCTTGGGGGTCACCCGAAGTCCTACCTTCGAATGAATTATTCGGAGAGGAGGTGGTACTACTGCGATTGAAATTGCGCGAGAAGAGAGCTAGTGCCCTTGCTTGATCAAATTCAATAATTCATATCAAACTATTACATAAATAAAATGTTTCATCATGTTATAACCAACTGGTCATATTTTGTCTTCGATTCACCCAGTAGTGTGGTTATCATAAGACTAACTTACATGTCTTTCTTTCAATTAGATTAAAAATGTAACATTTACAGACATAATGCATATTTATTTATATCTTCAGATACACGATTCGAGTAAATCTTTCTGAATACTAGAATTTTACTTTGGCATTTTCGTAAGGACAGTTTTTTCCAGCTCTTCACCACTACGCTTTCTGCTATCACTTGGACCTTCCGATACATCTTGTTTATCCTAGAATAATTACATAACACTTCTGTCATATCTTTTCACTCATAACATATAATATACATACCTTTCCCTGATTTACAGACACACGAGTTTCAAAACCAGGTAGAACCATGGAGCCTCGTTTTAAACGACCTTCCTTAATAAAAGAAAACCATCTCATACAAATCTTTGAAATATATTATATAACACTTACAAAATAATCTTTACGGTCTGCTTCATTTAACATTTCAACAAACGTCGAACCTTTCCACTCTGGTAGGTCAAAGCCAAACTTGATTGCAGCCACTGCGGACTTCATCTCCCAGACTCATAATTCATATATCATTCGAAATAATAAACTTGTATTTACTTACTATATTCTGGCCAATCGATAACACTCCTCTTTTAACAGACATTGACGGAACTTCTATATTAGCCTTTTTATATATGTCCACAATCTTCATACGCAAAAGTAAACTAAAATGCGATCTTAAAGAAAAGACTAAATTCTCTGAATTAAGAAAACTCATAAATACCCCAACTTATTCTCGTCCTTCATTCTTAAAGGCAACTCTTTCAAGATTGCAATATGGGTACCATTGTTCTTGTTATACTCACTCAGTTTCTTCCTACCCTCTTGCATAAAGTATCTCCAGAACTCATAACTGACTTTAGCCTATAAATTTCACTGATATTGTTCATATATTATAATATTATCAATAACTTACTCGTATTGCAGGGATTCCTTTATATTTACCAGCGTTTGTAGGCCAAGTGAAAGGCAAAGGATGACCCATCAATTTTTGTATCTATGTAAATCATGACAATAAGTACTAGATATAGCATATAATTTATGTAAAATATCTCACTCAGCTACAACGGTTGCCAACTCATTCAACAAGGTATCATATCTCCATCCCTTCTTATTTTCGAGTCCAACAATTCGCACCCATTCTAATAGTACACGCTTGTGCATAATACCATCGAATTCCTCCATGAGTTTCATATCGTTTCCAGCGCTCATGTCCTTGGGGGGGGGACATTTATAAACAAGAATTCTAGGGCATTCAGAATCGCGAAATGCACTTTATTTCAATAAAAATGTTGGAAAGAAGTAACCCTCACCTCTACGTGGTGCTCCTTGCTCTATTAGTGCACGTGCTTCATGTCGGTGGCGTGGAATCAGCAGAAAACAGGGATATTCTCACTCACCTTTTAAACTCTGAGAGGGCTAGCAAACACTCACCTTATAAGTTTCAGGACTGAGCTTGAAACGCTCAAACGTGCCCCCACTCCCCATTAAGAAGAAACATAAGAATGATCTGGCAATGAAGCCGTCGGTGCGTTGAAATTCACATGTTAGCCATGTGTAGACGTGTTGGGGCATTCTGAACCTGCACTAAACATGTATCGGCCTGTATTAGACATGTGTCACCATGTATTAGAGCAATTCATATGAACTCAGCGGCAACATTATCACTATCTCGCCGAGAGGGCGCAGACAAACATAATTTCGCACAGAGGGCCGAATTCTTCTCAATGAGGTGAGAGCTACATCTCCTAGACGATTATAATCAAATAAACGCTTTTCGGTTTTGAGTGCTTCGTTTAAAATGTCCTCCCCCCCGCTCCAAGGCATGAAGCGCCTCGTTTCTGTTAAATACATAAGTTTACCCCACTTTTAGCATTCAAAAGTTCCTTAACAAATTCCCTTGTCATCTAGCTTTCATTGTTTTAAAAATTCCATGAAAAATTCACTTATTTTCTCTCTTCTACTCATTACTTTCTATTCAATTACACATTACAATATATTCATCTTTTCACGCCTTACTTCCTTTACACACACTACTACTCACATTCTTCGAAAACGAGGGCCACACCCTCTTTAAAAATAGGGATTCTTTTGATAGGGTGTTAGCAAAAGTGCTCACCGTTGGGGTTAGATATCCACCCTGAAGATGCAACCAAATGCTTATATGAAAAAATCCTTCACTAATTCGCCAATTATATAGGCTCGCAAGTGCCTGGGGCATTCCCCCTTAAACTTCCCCCTAGTATGTGGGCTGGACCCCTCACATACTTCCTAACACGGTCAACTACCACCTCAGTAGATAACAACAACTATTACTTTGAACATATATTTTACAAAAGTAGGGTAAACGGTTTATATAATCTAGAAGATTTTGGAAACTCAAATTATCCTACGGAATGTAAACTAAATTGTGCGAAATGCAACCTTATAGATAAAAAAGATTATATCATTTCAAATACAACTAGTTTAAAAGTTAATACATATATTAATGGAAATGCTA